TTTCCTGGAGAACAAAAGTCGTCTCTTAACCATATGACTACCAGATACTAATTTTTAGTAGGTAACGTCGCTTTTGTCATATTTCATTCCAAAAATAAAACTAGTGGATGATATTCTTTGAAATTTGACAAGTATATTCTTAAAAGTATGTAGTTTTAGAAAAATAAAATATTTAATTTTGATATTTTCTACTTTTTAAAAATCAACATTCGTTATTTCAGATAGTTATTTGCACTCTGACTTCGAATAGTTTATCTGCAAAGTGATTTTCATGTTGAGTATAAAAATACTAATTTTTATCATACAGTTTCATATTTTGCTTGCATAATCTTAGAACCTCCTAAATGAATATCAAAAGTCTTTTTAAAGTAAATGTTTATATTTTATTTGCCATTTTCTCTTCAACATCATTAACTCTAGCATTTATCAATGTACAGTCATACCTTTTAACTCATTGATTATTCTAATAATATCTTTGATTTGACATGCATAATTTCACATCTTTATCTTTCACTTATAGTTTATTTTTAATGTTTTATTTTCCTCTCCTGTTCTTTATCTTTGATTATTTATGTCGACACACATCAACAAGTGCCTGCGGGCGATGTTATGTTAACTTCATTTTAGGTGTAGCCCCTCTGGCATAATATTTCATGCACTCATAAGTTTCTCGATGGTTTTTAAGAATTCAAAGTATAGAATAATTTAAAAAATAATTAAACCTTTCAAATATAAATCTTAAAACACAAATAATACATAATTAGCTAAAATGTAAAAGTAAAATATAAACGCAATCTAACTGTCTATTAAACGAATACATCTAAGGTGAGAGAAAATTGCCAAGTGCTATGGATACCGCTCTCAACAGACTTTAAAAAGTAAAGAAATTTGTTGTTGATATGAAGTTTTCACTTTAGGAAAGTGAGATATGTGGGATACTGCTCTCAACAGCCTTTAAAAAGTAAAGAAATTTGTTGTTGATATGAAGTTTTCACTTTAGGAAAGTGAGATATGTGGGATACTGCTCTCAACAGCCTTTAAAAAGTAAAGAAATTTGTTGTTGATATGAAGTTTTCACTTTAGGAAAGTGAGATATGTGGTATTTGAATACTTTTATCTTAGTCTAGTTTAACTTTATTTTAAATATACTTCAAATTTAAAATTCACATCTTGATTGCAAGAAATTACACGATGCTCACAATTCTCAGTCACATTAAGTACAAATTCAACAGAATAGGCACATAATGTTAAACATTATAACATACTAAAAGAACCATGCATTCACATGTCTTGCAGATATGACAAATAGCTAAATAACTAAACATATAACATATAGCAATACAAAAGTACCAAATAAAACCCTTTACAGTACATAACATAGAAAATGTAACATAAACTAAAATCCCTTTAAATAAATGTAAAATATACAACATATTGCCAAAAAACTTCAAAGACAAGATAAATGACACTGTACAAAAAAATAAAACCCTAAAAAAACACATTTTTGATTAAATACATAGAAAGCTTAACAATAATATACACAACTAAGGATGAAAAGTTGGGAGACATATAATGCATGTTAACATGTAAAAGAAAAGGAAACATTTACTTGCTGATCATGTAGTATTTTACAATCAATAAAAATTATATACAACAAAGGAAAATTAAGATAAAATAAGGGCATAAATAAAATGAAATCAAAGCAAGTAAAAGGTAAATTTGAAATATTTGCAATAAAATTAAACAAGTGCAAATCATAATATTGTCAAATCCAAGGAAAATGTACAATCGAATCCTTTACAATACTTGTGGTGGGTAGTACACAGATAACTCATTGTGATTAACAACAACCAAGCAAACGAACCATAGTCTTGGAACATTTTCCTAAATAGATAAAGTTAGCAGGTAAATACAACCAGCACTAATACAACAAGCTTCTCCAGTATTGACTGCATCTGAGATTATCATAAATACAGGTCCAAATTTCACAAAAGTGCCCCCAGTTTTTCTTTGCCAAATATGGTCACCTTAAACCAAGAAAAAATCTAATGTAAGTAATTTCAACTAAAAGCCTTCTCCCCTTATAACCGTTAACAGAAACCCAAGTAGACTCAACCTCATTGCTCTTAGCTTGGATATCCTCAACTTGAACAGGCTATAACTCAGATTTTATATATAAAGCCACTCCTCCCCTCTTTTTTAGTACTCTGTCTATATTAAATAACCTATATCAAATAAATTTCTTTCATCAATATTGTATACACTTAGCCAAATTTCGGTTATTGCCATACATTAAAATCCTCTGTTCCAACCAGTGCTCTAAAGTCACCTATTTTATTTCTTATACTTCTAGCATTACAATAATAACAGTTTAGCTTACCATTAAAACTGCCTTTGTACCTTCTTCTCACACTATATTCCTCTCTACATCTTATTTTTTCTTCACTATTTTGGCCCTCTCCACTACCTAATTTTAGTTTTAAAGTTGCCCTTACAGTTGATAGCCTTTGCAAATAAGCCAGCCTCTACTATATTTAAATGTAAACCATTCATTTGAAAAAGCTTTCTGAACTGATCCTGCAAATCCAACCAATTAACTTCTCTTTCTTACCTATTAACCCAAGCCTAACATTTAGCCCTAGTTACCTACTTATAATTTCATTCGCACCTTTAAGTCTTGCATTATACTTGAGAGAATTGAACCGTTATGGCTCTTTTCTTTGAATTTCTTTTTCTAATGTCTTGTACTTAACAATAAGCTCCTCTAACCTTCTCTTCCCTGCATCATTAGCCTCTATGTACACTACAAAAATTACATCACTTTATGATTGTGTATTTGATAATGATGTTGAAAGACTGTGACGTATCTTTCTGTAAGGATGTTTTAACAAAATTTAAATAATACATTTCTTTACGATTGTGTATTTGATAATGATGCTGAAAGAGTTTGGATATCTTTCTGTAAGGGTGATCATTATCAAATACACAATCATAAAGAAATGCACTACAAAAATTATGTTAAAATTATGTTAAAACACCCTTACAGAAAGATATCCAAACTCTTTCAACTTTTTATAGTACATTTC